TCATCATCATCATCATCATCATCATCATCATCATCTCCATCATCATCTCCATCGTCATCTCCATCGTCATCTCCATCGTCATCTCCATCATCATCATCATCATCGTCGTCATCGTCATCATCATCATCATCATCATCATCATCATCATCATCATCATCATCATCATCGTCGTCATCATCATCATCGTCGTCATCGTCATCATCATCATCATCTCCATCATCATCATCATCATCATCATCTCCATCATCATCATCATCATCATCTCCATCATCATCGTCGTCATCGTCATCATCATCATCATCATCATCATCTCCATCATCATCGTCATCATCATCATCATCATCATCATCATCATCATCATCGTCATCATCATCATCGTCATCATCATCATCATCATCATCATCATCATCACCTTATGACGAGCGGCGAAGTAAAGTTGAGTGGTGAAGATGTAGGGGAGCATGTTCCAGACGGTGTTTCCCGCAATCAACTGCTCCCAGGTGACGAAGAGAAAGAGGAAGAGGAGGAGGAGGGGAAGGGAAGGAAAGGAAGGAGAGGAGAAGCAGTAGACAGAGTAGAGGAGGAGAGGAGGAAAGGAGAAGAAGAGGAGAGAAGAGGTGAAGAGCGAAAAAAAGAAATGATGAGGAGAGGACGAGGAGAGGAGAAGAGGAGTAGAGAGAAGACGTCGAGGGAGAGGAGGATCTTACAATGTAAGGGAGGAAGAGTGACAGGAACCAAGAGTCCATGAAACTCAGGGGAATCCCATAACAAGTCCAAGGGAGCAACTCCAAACTGAAGATGAAGTTCAACACGTGATGAGCGCGATTGTGTGCAAAGACAGCAAAAGTTCTCCATGTCATGACAAGAATTTCTGAGAGTTCTCGTCCAACATGATGGTCTCACTTGAAGTTGAAGAAGCTGAAGAAGCTGAGAAACAATTTGAGGTGCGGGGGCCAGGAGATCTGAAGCAGCGAGAGCAGGTGAAGCTCCTGCAACATCCAACGATAAGAAGAGGAGGAGGAAAGAGGAGGACGAGGAGGAGATGAAAGACGAGAAATCAACGACAGACAGACAGACAGGGAGGCAGGTAGGAAGGCCAGCAGAGCGAGGAGAAGGAAAATGAGGGAGGGAGGGAGGAGAGGGAGGAGGCAGAGGAAGGAACTAGAAAGAAAGACATCTGAATTGCCTGCCCAAGTGACAAGACGATCCTTCCAAGGTGACTGTCGCTGATCGCAACGTTGGCCAACAAGATGAAGATGAAGACAACGACGGAAAACCAGATGAGATATCTGAAGGAGAAGTGAAGAGAAGGCAAAGCAGCAGGTCGAGCAGGGATGAGAGGTGAAGTCGTAGAGGAAGGAAGACGGCGAGAGAGCTGTAGAGTCGAGCAAGGGGAGGGAGAGAAGGAGCAGAAGAAGGAGTCGGCGGAAGGATCAAGTGCTCTCAGAGAGGAAGAGGTGAAGGAGGAGCAGGAAGGGGAATGTACATTAGGAAGAAAGCAGCGTTAGGGCAGGTAGAGCAGGTCCCATCCAACATCCGCCAGTAGCCTGGCGAGCACTCGCTGCAGAACCTTCCCGTGTATCCCACGGCACAGTGAGCCGCATCGAGGTACAGACTGACACACAGTCACATCCACAGCCCAGCTCTGTCCTCTTCCCCCTCCCCCTCTCCCTCCTCCTCCTCCTCCCTCCTCCCTCCTCCTCCTCCTCCTCCTCCTCCTCCTCCTTCACCGTGACTTGTTCGCAAGCTTTCCTAGTAGTGAGCTCTGATTCACTCCAGTCCTTCTCTCTTCGTCAAGTCTCGTCGATCCGTAGTAGAAGTCATAGTTTCCTCCCAGTCCATCACCCGGCAGCCCCTGCACTATCGTTCACCCCTTGATACTCGCAACCCCTCACCCTCACCCTCCTCCTCCTCCCTCACCCTTCCCCCTCCTCCTCCTCCTCACTCCTCCTCCTCCCTCCTCCTACTCTACGACCACCACGACCACCACGACCTCCTCCTCCTGCTCCTCCCCATCATTTTGCTCTTCCCCGTCCTGCTCATCCTCCTCCTTCTCCCCGTCCTGCTCCTCCTCCTTCCTCTGCAGCCCTCTCCCTTCCTCCTTTGTCCTCGCTCCTCCCTTCCACTCCCTCCTCTGCCCCAGAAACTCGTTCCTCTTCACACTCACCGATATGTTGGGCCACAAACCAGCTGGGCAGTAGCTGGGAAAGGGGTGGAACAGGCACTGCTGGAGGGAGCTCTGGTTGTCAACCTCGGGGTACCCGCGGCAGACCCCACGAACGCTCCTGAAGTTACAAGGAGACGCGAAGACCTGAAGGAAGGAGGAGGAGAGTGATTGGTAGAAGGCAAAGAGCAGAGAACAGAGAGCAGCAGCAAGAGCAGCAGCAAGAGCAGCAGCAGCAAGAGCAGCAGCAGCAGCAGCAGGTCGAGAAGTGTGTTGCGGGGGAGGCTCGGGAGTCTCTGACCGTGAGAGGATCAGGGTAGATCTCCGAGCTGCCGACGGTGTCAAATTCAGATACGTCCAGCAGCTACCTGAGCTACCTGCTCCACCAGCCCGTCCTGACCACAGGAGGAAGCGTCGAGCCGGAGCAGTACATCCCAGCTGGGCAACTCCAGCAGGCCTCCCCGACCCTGCCCTGCTTGTGGTAGGCATCCCCCTGGTCGATGTCAGTCATGGAAGGAGGACCAGGAGCAGCAGCGGCGGAAGCAGGGCAGCAGGATTGTCTGTCACCTGACATTCGCACTGAGACTTCTTGGTTGCCCTCATGTTGTTCGTGACGGTCAGCTCGGGACATTTCAAGCAGCTGGGAAATTCTTAGACCTGACCATCCGCCCTCCCCTTTCACTCTCCAGCCTCTCCCTCCCTTCCCTCCTCCCTCCCCTGTCCCTCCTCCTCCCCTCCCTCCTCCTCCCTTTCCATCCTCTCCCTCGCTCCCCTCGGCTCTCCCACCTGGTCAAACCACTGACAGGGCCGAACGAGAAGGCACCGCAGTCCCTGCAAGCGCATGAGGAGGATGGGCAGCAGGCGCGAGCTCACCTGCACTCCAGCAGGCCTGGCTGACCCCCGTAGGTGCCTGGAGGGCAGGAGGAGCAGGTCGTGGACCCTTGCTGGGGGTTGAAGGTGCCGGGGGGGCAGGGGGAACAGGAGGAGGAGCCGGGGAGAAAGGCGAAAGAGCCGGGAGGGCAGGGCTGGCAGGAGCTCGTGAGCGAGTCGCGGAAAGTTCCAGCAGGGCAGGAGGAGCAATTGAGGTGCCAGGTGAGGCTGTACAGCCCCAGCTGAGGGATGAGCTGATCTGCTGGCTTCGACGAGCCAGGTGGGCAAATTTTACAACTGCAGCCAGTCAGGAGAAGAGGAGCAGGAGAAAGATGGGGAGGGGCAGGAGGAGAAAGTGGGAGGAAGGGGGAAAGGACGAGGAGCGGTGGGAACACCTGGATGCAGCCCAGAACTTGTTTGCGTCACATAGGACGGAGATGCGGACGGTTCGGCGGGGAGGAGAGACGAAGAGGAGAGGCGAGGAGCGGCTGCTGGGGCAGACGATATACTCGAACCTGTCAAAGTCCTTTCCTCCCGCCTCGCTGGGCGCTGAGTAGAGAAACGCTGGAAGAGGAGGAGAAGCTGTCTGTGTGGAGCTCTCGTAAACCTCCCCCAAGAGCGAGGAGGAGCCGCAGGTGACCCTCTGCAGCGGGAGGAAGCGGTACCCCTCCATTGCCTGTAATGTACCCCTTGTGGGCCTGGTGGTGAGGACGACGAGCTGCAAGCTGAGCGGGAAGAGACTCTGGTCCAGAACTCTGACCGGAACCCTGGCAGGGACTGAGCCACGCACCAACACCTCCTGCTGTATCTTGCCGCCGTCCGCCTGCGCCACGGGGAGGGAGAGGCTGACGTTGGAGGAGGAGGCCAGCCTCTTGGAGTCGTAGGCAGAGAAGGTGAACTCGTCCTGCCCGTCCTCCTTCCCGTCGTTCCTCCTCCTGTACCCCACCAGCTGTAGCGGGTGAGTCACCATCCCCTCCGGCAGATCCCCAGCTGTTCCCTTGAGCCTCACGACCCGCAGTCCCTCCAGCACGTTCCCTCCGTCCGCCATGCCGATGCCTCGATGCTGAAGGCCGCAGACTTGGATGAGGATCGAGTCCGTGGGGAAGGAGGGAGGAGGCAGCGGAGGGTCGAGTGTCGCAGCCCCAGGGCTCGCACGCACGTCTATGGCATATCCCCTCCACAGCTCCTCCCATTGATTCGAGCAGCCTTGAAGGAGCCAAGACTCCTCCCTCTCCTTTGTGACCGTCGCTTCCTCCCTCCTCGCCTCCCCGCCGCCTCCCGCCGCCTCGAACTCATTGGACAGGAGCGAACTCTGGGAACGGAGGAGGGAGTACTTCACCTCTTCCCAGGGGGGATGGAGGGCGAGGACGCGGAGGAAGGTGGAGTCAGGCATCCAAGACTGGATTGATAGCTCCTCCGGGAAGACTTTCTGCTCGTAACGGAACATGGCAGCGTCGGTCCCGCGGTCGCCGCACATGGACGAGAACGCCTCTGCTTCCTCACACTGAGACTCCGTCCTGACCTGCGGACGCTCCTGCCCGTTGACAAGCTGCACACCGACGACCTTGTGCCGGCAGCGGCAGCTGGGGATGGGAGGGTAGAAAAGGCGCCCAGTCCACCCCTCGCCCCTCCTCTCCGTCAAGGTTCCGTTGGTCAGGTTGAGCACGCTCACAGGAAGCTGCTCCTGCTGCTGCTCGGCTGCAACAACGCGGGGGCCAAGGAAGGAGCCGCTGATGTTGCCGTCGGCCCCATAGACGGGGAGGAGGTTGTAGAGATCGCCGTGCTGAGGGAAGGAGAGGACACGAGCCCTGGTCTCGCCCTCCTCCACCTTTATCAGCGAGAGCTGGAGGACCTGGAGGGTCTCGGAGGAGGAGAGATTTGCAGTCACCCCGCTGCTCATGGGATAGTTCCTCTGCGGCAGGATCCGGAAGGTAGCGGAGGAGAGGAAGGAGTCGGTGAGCTGGAAGGAGCCGGGGCGGGTGAGGCGGAAGTTGGCGGTGAGAGCAGGGGAGATGTCGAAGGGCTCGGGTACATAGAGGAGGCGAAGCTCAACATCGGCAACCTTGCTGGGGATCGACGAGACCTGCAGGTCGAACATGGGGCCCTTCACAAAACACCGAGACTGGTTCTGACCAAAGGAGGAGGAGGAGGAGATAGCTCTGGAAAGTTCCTCGAGGTAGTGTGCCACATCGACGCGCATTCGCTTCCAAGCTGCTGAAATCGCTCGTTGGGTTGGAGAGGATCCGAACTGAAGAAGAAGCTGCGGGGAGGTAAGAGAAAGAGATCAGAAGAGGAGAGAAGAGGAGAAAACCTGCAGGAGATTCAAATTGCCCAGCGCTGCAGCAATCTCCATTGCTTCTTCACCTGCTCTTTTGATGAGAAACAGCGGAGGAGGAAGAAGGCGGAGGGTCATACCGACAGGGCAGCCGATGGTGAGCATCCACTTGAGGAGCTTTGTCCTCTCTGAGCAAGGCGACGTCACTTCACAGCGAGGAGGAGGAGGAGGAGGAACCGAAGAGAGTTGCGAGGGTCACGTACGAGCGCTTGGGCATGAGCGAGTAGGAGGAGAGGGGCAGGAGGTAGTTAGCGTAGATGCTGAGGAAGCAGGTGAAGCCGGAGGGGTAGACGCAGCTGCAGGTGGTCATGGGGGAGACAAGGCAGCGGGTTGTCTCGTTGATGAAAGTCTTGCAGATCATGGCAGAGTCGTTGACTCCTCTCACCACTCGTCTGCCGTTGACTTGGGTCAAGTCAGTGCAGTTGGCGGCGAAGAGCTCGTCCTCTATGGTCACGATGCTCCAGGAAGCGTCGCCGCGCGAGTTGCGGATGACAAGATCCGAGTAGGCCTGCTCCGACCCACAGAGAAGGTTGACAGCCTGAATGTCCGAGCAGGAGCCGGGCTGAGTGAAGCCTGCAAGAGAAGGAGGAGAGAGGTGAAGAGGGATGAGGAATGAAGATGCCAAGGAAGAGGAGGAAGGAGGAGGAGGAGGAGGAGGAGAGTCAGGGGTTGCCGAGCAAGAGATATCACGGGGTACCATCGACATCGTCGCACTTGATCTCGATGAGGTGAAAGAGCTCTCCCTTTGCAGGAAGGGAGGCAACGAAAGCCTCCAGCGACTCGTCCGTGACGGTGATGTAGGGCAGGTATGCGACCCTCGCCTGATTCTCCACTACCTCCTCGCTCCAGGTCACGGGGTACGGCAGCTGGCGAGAGAAGAGGAGGAGGCTGCTGAGGGCGGAGATGACGGGGATCGGGTTTCCCTTGTCGTCCAGGAACGGAGAGCTCGAGATTTCAACCGCCAGCTCGTCTATGCGAGCAGACGCAGTCCGATCTCCGGTGTAGAAGAGGTAGTAGCCGTCCCGAGTGCAGCCGGAGGGCCCGCAGGTCTCGTACCCGTGCTTGCTCTCCACGTTGGAGAACAGCTGAAGGATAGTGTTGCCGAGGACGATGGGAATGCCCGAGCCAAAGCCGACCCGGGGGTCGTACTCAGCGGTGTAGAGCTTGCCGAAGACAGGGATGGGGTCCTTGATGCGGCAGCGAACCACGCTGATGCTGACGTCAGCACCGTAGATGGGAATCTTGAGTAGATTCATGGAGACTCCGTTCATAGGGATGGAGAGAGGGAGGTAGGAGCCGAAGATAGGAGCTGTCGAGCCCATGCGCTGAGGGCGGCTGATCACTAAGTCTCCTCCTAAGCTCAACGTTGCTGAGTAGTCGGTGATCACGTTGGGCTCCGTTGCCAGCCCTCCGTCCATCGCCTTCCCGTTGGAGTCGAAGTTCATGTAGAGGAAGAGGCCCTCCCAGTGGATTGGGGACCTGCCGAGAGAGAGCCCGTCCTTCTTGGCTCCGATCACGAACCACATGTCCAGGGAGAGCATCTTCTCCGTCTTGGCGTGCGAGTACATCCTGATCTCGTCGAGGAAGCCAGCGAACGCGAAGCGAGGCTCCATGCACCCCGGTGCGCACGTGCATGCGAAAGCATCCATCACCGTTGGGCTGCCGTGGACACAGACGTGGTCCGTGTACGCGCACTTCCAGGCCCCAGGATCGACTGAGGGAGCAGAGGGGACGCTGCTGCGCCGCAGGATGTCGTTGGCGTCCTGAGTGGCGACCACTGTCTCCAGGAGCTGCTGGGGGAGGAAGTAGTCGCACCCTGGTGCGGGCTCGTCTGACGCGCAGCTCGTGGTGACCCTGCCGTCTGGCTGCCGGATGGAGGCGGTTTGAGAGAGGACGCTCAGCCGCTCCGAGGACAAGACCGACCGCTTGTCCTGCGAGCCGCAGATCGGCCGCTGACCCAGGAAGAGCTCCCCCGTGCCTAGCAGCTCTTCCCCTGCTGCGAGCTGGTCTGTCAATCGCAGCACGCCGTCGACGTAGAGGTCAAGTTGACCGGAGCTGGCGGTCCAGCTGAGGGCCAGGTGGTGCCATTGGCCGTCGCTGATGTCGATGAGGCGGGAGGCGCTCACTTCGTTCCTGCGGTACACGCGCAGGTCCGTCACGTCGTTCACCTCCAGCTCTCGCCCTCTGCTGGAGAAGAGGCCGAAGACTGTCTGCAGTCGCCTCCTCCGCATGCTCTTGAGCCACATGGTGATTGTAAGGCTGCTTGTAGGAAGGGGATCCAAGCTCACGTACGCAAAGTCGTCGTAGCCATCGAAGTAGATGCCCCCACCAGCCCCTCCAGCAAACGGCAGGTCGCTGTTCTGTTTCACTATGATGTTGACCTCCCCCCGTCGAGGTGACCCTGACCCATCCAGCACTTGAAACGCGAAGTTCGCATAGGGGACACAGATGGTACACACAACGCCTGTCGGGTCGCAGATCCTGCAGGGCAGCCGTCACAAGCTTCAATCGCGAACGGAGAAGTCACTTACGAGCAGGAGAATTCGCTGGGGAAGGGAAGGAAGAAAACGAGGTTGGACGGCAGAAGTGTCCCTGGCGACTGAACCTTAGGTCCCAGCGTCAGGTTCCCCTCGTAAGTTCCCGTCCCTTTCACAGGCACGAAGAGCTCTCCATGCAGTGGCAGACTCAGTATGGTCCAGGACGACCATGATGGACTCGAGTCAAGAGCGACAAGTAGCATGCGATCCTGCTGCCCGGTGACCGTCTGATTCAGCGCCTGAGCATCGACAGTTGAAGATGCGGCCAAGAGACAGAGGCCGAGACAGAGACGGAGCGCGAGGGGTAGATGGAGACGGAGGGGGGAGGCTGAACATGACGAGCGAGAAAAGAGGGAGAGAGCAGCAGTGAGGGGGAAGGAAAAGGGTAGAAGAGGAGGTCTGAGGAGAGGAAGATGGAGGAGGATGAAAAGGAGCAGAGGAAGGAGAAGGAGGAGGCGAGGGAGGAGGAGAAGGAGGAGGCGAGGGAGGAGGAGAAGGAGGAGGCGAGGGAGGCGGAGGGAGCGCAGGAGCAGCGGGGCGCTCATCAGTTAGTGTAGTTATCCTGCAGCCATTGTTTTGACAAGGATGAACTTTTCAGATATCTATATGGTCAAAAGTTCAACATGGTACCCGAAAGTTCCATCCCCATAAGGCTTGACCGGGCCCAGTCACCCGGTATGATCGGCCGCTGAGGCTGGCCCGGTATTTGAACGGAGGTCAGGCCCGCCTACTGACGGAGCACAAGTTTGTTAGACTTGTACTGTGTCAAAGTAATGCAGACACCATATCGACCTTAGTTGTAACAAGACAGTTTTTGCTCAAGACCGAGTTCAATGCACACGCAACCAGAATTGAAGAGCACAAGATGAGAGATAGGCAGAATGAAAGGATGTGAAACCCTAGCATCTAGATTAGCAAGGCGGCTAGGAAGCCCCCTTCTTCGTCCCACGTCACTACCGAAAGAGAAAGTAAGAGAGATAGAAGAAAAACTGAAAGAGAGAGAGGAGAGAGAAGATAAGAGAGAGAAGATAAGAGAGAGAAGATAAGAGAGAGAAGATAAGAGAGAGAAGATAAGAGAGAGAAGATAACAGAGAGAAGATAACAGAGAGAAGATAACAGAGAGAAGATAAGTGAGAGGGACAGAGAAGCGTGGGAACAGCAAGGGTAATTCCAGCTCGCGGGGCAGTGCTGTTGGCACCAGCGGCCGCGGCGGGACCGCGCAATCGGATTACACGAGCAACGATTACACGAACCCATTCACTGAGTGGCGCACAGAGCGGGAGATTGTGTTTGCCGCTGAGGTTTATGAAGCGTACGAGGTAGGAGGTTATGAGAAGTAGGTGGGAGCAACGAGGAGGTTGGTCAGCGTCGAGAGCTGCTGCTCGTCGAACTTGCACTTGAGAACTGGCCAGCTGTCCTGGTGAGTCCGCCAAAATTCTCCGAAAATCTTGCGGACGGTCTGCCGGATGGGCATCGGATCCAACACGTGGGTGGCGAGCCTGACCAGAACCTCGGGCATCCACTCAGGGACGTCGTAGGGATACGCACCCACTAGCGCCGCCAACCCCAGCACCCCCGCATGCCGTTTCAGCAGAGCGTCGCTGACGGCGCTGCCGCCATCCGTCTTGGTCGCCTGGCTTGCGGTCGGAATCTTCGAGTCCGCCCAGAGGTAGAAGCTCTGCTTGAGCTCCAACGCGGTCTCCTCGCCGGACATGCGGACGAGGACAGAGATGGCGCTGCAGGCCGTCTCTCTGACCTCGACCTGTGAGTCTTGCAGGAGGAAGACCATGAGCTCGCGGATGTTCCAAAAGTCTTCCTCGTTAATCAGAAACTGATGCCTGAACGTCACGATCTGAAGGAACGGCAGCATCGCCGCCCGCACGTGCCATGACGTGGACTTCCCTACGCTGTAAACCGAGCTCAGGAGCAGCGGCAAGATGTTCCTGCACAGCATGGGAGTGTTGGCTGCGAGCTCCGCACAGTGTTTCGCTTGCCGTGAGATATCCTTGTCGCGATCCTCAAGGGCCTGTCAAGGAAGGAGCATCAGAAGCGCGTCTGCTGTTGAGCTCTCGTCCTACCTGAAGCAGCGGAGGAAGGACAGCCGGCAAGTGAGGGGCGAGAGGACAAGAGTACATCCCATCAAAGTGCGGGCACACAGCGAGGACTAGTCGAATGAGCGCATGCCTGACTCATAGTCACAAGCAGCCCAGCGAGAGTCTCAGGCAAGACCTCAGGTTCTTCAGCTCCGTCAGGAGATCGTCGAAGTTCTCATCGACTGCTTGTGGAGTCATCAACAAGGACACGTGAGGAAGAGAGTCAAGCACCCTTGTCGTCGTCCTGGCTCCTCCTCTTCAGCTGCTGCGCTCTCACCGTCATCCCTTTCTTGCAGATCTTGGTGCACAGTCTGGAGATGAGCCTACAAGACTATCAGTGAGATCCCGCGAAGGACCTCCCTTGGCTAACCCGTGCATGCACTCTGACGGCCACAGAGGCTCCTTGGTCCTGCGTGATGTCAGCTCGATGCTGATGGAAGGGATGAGGACGCGCACGTGAACTCCATAGGGACCGGGGGCCTGTCAAGTTGCACCATCACGTCAGAGAGACGCATGCGCGATCCAACTCTCACCTCGTCGCTGTGGGTTGACTAGAGCTCTCTCCTTCATGGCCGCGGCTGCTTCCTTCGTCTCCCTTCCCCTCATCGCCTCTGTCGTTCGCGCTCTTCCAAGGAGGATTCCAAGTCACTCTTGTGATCAGCCCGACACAAGAGCTCGCGGCATCGCGAGTCTGCGAGTAGGGGCTCTCCAGGTATGGCTCCAAGTCATGGATGAGCTGCCGGTGTAGCGGTACACCTCGCCAGGACAGCTCGTTGAGGATCGGCCGGAGGATAGCTATCCTCCTGCATGGCTGCGTCACGCACAGGGGCACGAGGAGTGAAGAGCGGACCTGCAGAAAAGGACGGAGTTTCTGCTGCTCTCATTCGAGCACGAGGGCAGCGCCGAGTCGAACAAGAAAGAGATCAACCAGCTCACTCGCCGCGGGTGCCTATCAGGTCACGATCCACGTCAGACTGCTCATCAGCTGCTGGGGCTGCGACGGTTTGACCTGTCAAAGATGGAGAAGCGCAGGCAAGAGCTCCAGGTAGACGCAGACTCCATCTCGGGGATGTTCAAGATGACCTCCAACACTTTGCAGATCTGCCGGAGCAACATCAGGACGCGTCAGCGGCTCCATGTCGTCCCCTCACCTTGTCCTGCGCCACCTCCTTTGCTGCATCAGTCCAGTACTTGGACCCTCGTATCAGCCCGCCGACTATCTCAGCTGCGAGGCATTGTTGACCCAGGTAGACGTCTGTACTTAACTTGGTGTAGGCCTGCAGACCCTTGCGTCAGGAAATTCACGACCACCATCCCGGCCCTGCCTGTGGGTCTCCTATGACTCCGTCCAAGAAAGGCTCCATGGCATGCAATACGTCCATTCCAACAAACTTCGATTTGTGTCAGAGCGTCAGCACCAGCGTTGACACCTTACCTTGAACAACCCCTTCCACATCTGCGCGAAAGAGCCGACAAACGACTTGGCACGAGCGGCTTGGATCACCGACAGGCACTTGATGATGCTCTCCACGTACGAAGAGGTTTTGAACCGATTTTTCAGCATCTCCACAACCTCGAGCCTAAGTCCAGCAGTCAGTCAGCACGTCGGACCTCAGATGAGAGTAGCAGCACTCACTTGTAAGCTTCCGTTATCACCTTCCGGCGAGCCTGCGTCTGACAGGAGCACAATGAGAGACGGCCGGTCGGTCATCGTCAAGCGACGTACCAGATGATCATTGATCCTCTTGCGGGGCGGCATTCCATTCCAATTGGAGAAATTTTTGTCAGGAAAACGATCGTGTTCCTCGAACAGCTCAACTTTGCTCTGTTGCTCTGTCTGCAGCTGCTGCAGCATCGTGTTGAAGGCTCGCAGGCAAACTTTTCGCACGTGTGAAACGTCCGAGACGAGCTCATCCAGCACGACGTTCCACAGAATGAGCGGAGGAGCCACGTCATCTCGCAGCAAGGTCGATATGGTATGCACGATCATCAGTCGGTAGCGCCAGTGGGTTTTCGTCTTCCCGTCCAGCAGGGCTACCTGTCAAGAGAATGAGCATCGACTGCGAGGAGAAGTCGTCCCGCACCAGAGCCTCGAGCATTTCACCGTGACCTTCGAACGACCAACCCTGATAGAGAGCCAGAGACGAACTTGAATCGTTTGTTTCTGCAGCTGGAGAGGCTTCTATCCACTTGGAGTAGATCGGCAGATCCAGCGACATCTGACGATGATATATGAGAGTATGAACATAGAAAGATGAAGGTCAATTACTTGGTAGAGGGCAGAGTGAACTGAGTTGAAGACGTCGACCAGGGCCGCATGTACGACAAGCTTGTCAAGGTGGTTCGCACGGCACAGCGCCAGTATGAATCGTCGTAGTACCCCCCAATCACGTAGCAAACGATTCTGCCAGCAAGTTTCACGTCTCCTCACCTCTCCTCTCAGAAAACTGAGTGACTCACCTGGAAGCACTTAGTCTGCAGCACGTGCGCTGCTCCCAACACCCTCTGCTCTTGGGCAGTTCCCACCTCCAGCCTACCGAGAAGCGTCAGTCTCGAATGTTCTTGCCTCAACAGTTATCACCGATCCTCCAACACAGAGATGAGATAAGGGATGATCAGAGCACAGGCCCCTTCGTGTCTACGTACGCATGATAGCAATGCTGGCTGGCCCTTGGACCGCACCACTTTGTAAGGAAATGTGGCCAAGACACAAATCTGCAAAGAATCACATCAACTTACAGGGAAATCAGGTTCATTCAGGATACCTGCTTCGTGAGTTCAAGCACCAGATTCGAGGCCTTGCACTTTCTTTGTCTCTGCATTATCACGTACATGTGATGATGCTGGACTTTTGCAACCATAGTGTATCTCGGGAACTTTTTGTCAATGGTGGACTGTATCGTCTGTTCTCGATGCTGGCTTTTGAGGATGGTGTACCGAAGTCTAAGGCGGTTGATGAGTTTCTGTTTGAAACAAAAATCAATCCTGATCGTGAGCCCTCTAGATTTTACCTGTAAAATGTCCACACCATTCAAAGCAACATCTATAGCTTTCGCTAAACCCTTCGAACAAGATTGTCAAAGCAAGATGAGAACATTAGACATTGATTGACACCTTGAGCAATTTGACATCTTCAGACTTTGCCTTCAAGGCAACACTGGTAATTTCGTGCAGCAATCTTGCGATTTCGAATCTGTTCAAATGATTCTCAGCCTCGCAAGGTGGGGGCAGCGTGACGGAGTCGGGTATGCTGTCATCGATGATTTCTGCCATCTGCTTGACCTTGAAGTCAACATGGTTGACGTCATTTGAATCTATTCCGTCCATGCTGGGACAATCTTCACTGTCTCCTTCCCATTTGGGAAGGACTGTGACCAACCCTTGTAAGACAAATCGTATTTGATTCACACAGTACAGCGCCTCCACGGAATTGATTGAGTCAGATGATCTGTGCTCTTTCGATCCGTTTGGAATGTTCAACGGCTCTGGAGCAACACGAGTGAAGAGGGGCCTTGAGTCTTTCTGACTTGAATCGCTTCCTTCAGAGGCCGAGTTTGCATTGTTTGAGGCCGGTGAGTTCATTTCTGCATCCGATGAGAACTGTGACACTGGTCGCTCTCGTTCTCGTACGAAATTGGAAATCTTGCTCGTCGGTTCACGCAAAAAGTTCGAGGCAAGGTCTGCGGCCCATTGCAATCCCTCTTTGGACGGCCTTCTCCATTCCAGCTGGAGGAAGAGCGTGACAATGAGAACAAAAAACTTCGAGGAGGCACCTTTACGTCCTTGAGATACAGGGCTTCTCCCCAAGAAACGTAATGCGATCGTCTCCATACCGGATCATTCCAAACCTCCGATGGCACAGATCGACAATCCTATAGAAAGCAATCACACCATCACCAAACGCGAAAGGTAAAACAAGGGTCTACTTTGGGTCGGAATGTAACAAGCGACTGTAGAAGACATCTGAGCAAATGTAGCGCTGCTTTAACAACCTGTGCATTTGTGAATTCTATAGCAACCACAATGACAAACAAACTCCACCTTGCGTGATTTCACCCCGGGGCGTTCTTCAACCTGATTCGAAATGATTCAAACGCAGATCAATGGGAAATGTAAGGTAGGGCGATGTAGATGACAAACAATTGTCACGCTTTGTTAGAGCTTTCACCTTCAAGCCCAACTCGATGACAGCTTCTATTTGACGACGAAAAACAAGAACTTCACACCCGGCATCCACGATGATGTGGCGTAGAATGCTCATGTAGTATATCAGCTCAGTGTCAGACAAGGCTGCACTTAAAGTCAACGAGATGGAGGACAGCAACAGGCAGCACCGGCGAGTCTGAATGGACCCATCTCATCGTAGTGGCTCGGCAAGGTGAAGTCATCCTGTATTGAAAAAGGCTCCTGGTCGGATGAGGACGATTGTCGTTCGAGCTGCCCCTTCCATCGAGAAGGACTCCACTGAGCTCCAGGGGACCTCAAGTCGGACGGGGAAGTCATGGAAGGAGTCCGAGCTGCTCTGTGCGACTTAGGCGTCCACTTCGGGCTCTCCAAAAGAATCCGAAGACAGATTGGAACAAACTATTACGACAGAGTCGTCACAAAACAAAACAATCAGAGAAATAATCTCGACACCTTTCGAACAACAAGCGTTGGATTCACAGCCGTAATTGCAGTAAGCAGAACCCCGAGTTGGCCTTGCTGATGTGACAAGAGATTCGTAAAACAAAAATTCGCGACCTTGCAAGAGAAACTGATCAGTTCCTCTCTTGGAGACGAGACTTGTTTTTACCTTGTTCACTGCACTGTCATACAAACTTTCACCCATCTGCATGAAGAAGACTTCTAGAGCACACTGAAACAAATATTCCGATGTCCGTGACTCGCTATCTCCTTTGTTGACATTCCCAACATCCGCCTCCCCGTGGGCATGTGCTCCTTGGTGCAGGATAAACACAAAGGTTTGATCAAGAAAGCGCAACGCCCAATCCATGAGCATGTCCGTCGTCTGACGAGCTTCTTCATGTCTTGTCAAGTCAAGACCAGGTGGAGGCGCTTCGTCAGTGATCGGGATCTAGAAGGAAAATCAGTTGGCGGGTTGTCACACAGGGGAAGAATTCACGCACAAGAGGTAATCCTGAGAGAAGAATAGTGTAAAACCGAAGTGTCGACCAAGTCTTTCTCATGTCATTAGTATCTATCCCTGTCAAAGTGAGGTTCAAAAGTGATGGTATGTGACCGATCCCAGCTGAGAAATTCTGAATTTGCAAGGTCGGATGTATGACCGCTGACAGAGCGTCAAGAGCAGCTGAAGTCTGGTGTACTTCAGTCAGCGTTGTTAGAGCTTGATACAATCTGTCAAGCAAGGGGGGTAGAGTTGCATCGGCATCCAGGAGCGAAAGCATCTTCAACGCTGTACATGAATGCATAACTGTGGTACTGCTCTTGGAATACAGGCCTTGAAAAGCAAGAGGTTTGATAATATCCACAAACTCAGATATGTCTGACTTTTTCAGGGCAAACTTCTGATCCGTCTCGTCCATCCTTTCGTTTGTGACACGATCAAAGAGATGTTCACACAGGGAGGCGATCAACTGAGACAGTCGTCTCGTCCAGTAACCACCATTTGAAGGATGTAGGAAAGTCTCAATGCCCTTTGCCAAACGCCTCAAGTAAGTCATCGGATCATGCTCAATATCCGAGCAATTGTCAAAGCCTTCACGTGGATACATAAGATAGATCAAAAGTTTGGCTGCTTTGTTCACAATCTGTAGAGATTTGGATCTCGTCTCACCCTTGTGGACAAAGACTGACAGAGAGCACATTGGATAGCCATCATTGTATGATATGCTTGACTCCTTGTTCTCATACAGTCGAATTCTAGAAGGGCCAACGGGAATGTCAAGCAAGTGGAGAACATGAGCATATATCAATGGAATGTGCTTTATCCATCGAGAAGCATGCTCTTTGTACGTATGACGACAGATACTCGCTATTGCTTGTAACCAGTGCAAGTCCCAATCAGAGTACGTCACAATCCAACTCCACATAGACAACATCTCTTCCAGATAATCAAGTGCATCTGGAAGATCTCTGCGTATCAACAAGGCCAGGAATGCCTGGGACTTCAGGACCGACATATCCTGAGGGCAGCACATGGGTCGAAATTCTTTGAAAATTTCAGGATTACAGGAAGCATCAAAGTAGCGCCTTGAGTGTCTAGCCAACGAAACCAAGTAATGCCCGAGGTTTCGGCAAAGAGGAATCTGTGGAGTTCTTGCTTTCCCAAAGAAGAACAGGTCCATAAGCCTGTACAATGGGAACCATGGGAGTGAGATGCTGAGCGGTTGTAGATCTTTGCGCTGCAAGATTCGACAGGCCAATTTAGCAAAGTTCCTGATCAAGATCTGATCAAGATCCTGCGTGTCAGTGATCACTGCGTACAGGAGCTTCACTGCCTTGCTGCATGCCTCACGCGTAATGGATCTTTTCAAATCCAGATGTCTTTTCAAGCTGTGAGCTGCAATTCTTGTTCGAAGGTGATAGTCTTTCTGGGCAATACCATTCTCCATCTCATCCACAATCTCCTGTGCCCGGTCCAACATGACATCTCGACCAAGGGTGTGATATGTCCGCTCATCAGCGCAGCCGTCATCAGCACGGGAGCTCGACTCATGGCTGGAAACTTCCAGCCATCCCGGCAGAATCTCATTTATATTGATGGAGGTATCGATCACCTCCATTATTTCACTGTCCATCCTATGAGATCCAGCAGTTCATCGGCCCTTGGGTGCAATTCCGAGTATGCGCCTGCCCATTCCGATCTTGATAGTTTACTGTCTTCCCGTCCCTGAGCTGCCCTTCAGCGACCCAATCTGAGCTCTCCAACTCTGACCTCCTCTCAGTCTCCCTTCGCTTCCTTTATCTCTTCTCCTCTCTTCTCTTCCCCTCTTCCTTCTCCTCCCTCTTCCTGTCATTTCCTCCATCCGCCGCCATATCCCCCTGCAGCCCGATTCCCCACCCCCACGACTACCCCCTCCAGCTCTTTCTACCCCATTGAACGTAGGGAAAGTCACGGGTGCTGGACCACCTACCCCTCATAGTCTGACCCACCGATTGTACCAATAGTACCCCCTAACTTCCCTTCCAATACCCCCTAGTTTGCCTACCAAGTAATCCACCCTACCCCCTGACCCATGACTCGGCACCAGACCCCACGGTGTTGGACCGACCTTGAGTCCGGGCCGGGCAGGACCATCACCGATCAACTCTCATGTCACCGCATTACTCAAAGTTAAGTAAAACTTAGTAGGAGCCCCCTCGACCGATTATACCCCCGTTTTTCATGACCCCTCAGTTTCCCTTGCTTCTCCCCTCCAAAGTACCCGTACTTAGTCAACATGATCCACCCCCACCTTCTCAATGTTCCCCTACCTACCCCCTAGGTTGCCCTGGATCACTTTACTACCTTACTGCCAAGTGTCCATACCACCATCGCAGGACCACCCCACCCCCTAGTGGATACCCTCCATTGAAAATATCCATCCCTCCACAGGGTCAGTACCGGTACACTCATAGATGAAGTACCCTACCAGGTCCTTGATGTACCCCTACCTCCTCCTGTACTGTAGAACACCGGTACGACTTGACTTGGAAACTCAACTTATCTACCCCAACCCCCCATATGCTGGAGGTTTGAGGGGGTGGTGTTGGGCGTTGGAAATGCACTCAGAGCATTTCGGGAACGTACAGGGAGCACAATGAAGAGGAGGCGGGGAAAGAGAGGGAGAAGGAGGAAGTAAGAGCAAGTTCAGAATGCCATCAGATGTGAATACTTCGGTCTCTGAAAGAAAGAAGTATGTCATGCAAGGAAGCGCCATGCTTGTTGGCGCTGCAGATGTATTGCAAAAAGATACTGATTGAATGGAAGCAGCGAGGAGATGGAGAGGGGAGCTTGTTTGGCCACGAATTTTTTTGAGGTGTATCAATCATCGCAAAATTTAGACCAGACCACCACACCAAATGATTTGAGATTCTGCTACCTGTTTCATGCTGGCAAGCTCTGAGCCTCTTTTCGCTTCAGGTCGGATCATGACCAACCAACCTGAGGATGGCGTATCTGGTGGCGGCCAGCCAAAGGAAACGGAGGGAGAAGCCAAGAATCCGATGAATTTTTTATCTACAATCTTCTCTGTGAGTTATCTCTTGCCTCATTGGGTGTGGTTCTCACAAGGTTCCAGGCAACAATGAAGATGAAGCGAAAAAGCAAGGAAACCAGAGCGCACAGCGAGGTATTGAGCGACTGCTTCTTCTGGCAGAACAATTCACTCTCTTTCGTTCTGTGATTCTCCCTTATCACAGGCTCTGGAAAGGATTCAAGGTCATCTTCTTGACGTAGGCTGCGATCTGAAACTGTACCGTGGATCTGCTACGAAGTAAGGGCAAATGTTTTGCAGCCGGTAACCTGAAGTTCATGTGACAGGCTCTTTGAGTACATGCCGAATCATACATCTTCAGATATCATGAAAACTCCTCTGCCCTTCCTCATTTTTCATCCTTTCGCAAATATGCGCTTGGCATGGGATATCATAATCATGCTGCTCCTGGTATGGAATATGATCGTTATTCCTTTGCGGATAGCGTTCGAGAATGCCTCAAGCTGTGAGTCAAGTTTCTTGAAGCAGGACACAATCTTTTACGTGGACTTTGCGATGGACCTTATCTTCATGATTGATGTCCCGGTTACCTTTCGAACAGCGTTCCTAGACAAAAAGCCGGACACCGGCGAGGTGGAGCTTGTGACGAATTGGATGGCAATTGCTCGGAGATACGCTAAGGGTGTCTTGTTTATTGACATTGTCTCTTCGATTCCTTTCGATTTGATCCTCCTCTCGTTCTGTGACGGTCAGGGTAACATTGGTCCGAACGGTGTCTTCCGCAGCCCAAAGATGCTGAAGCTCATTCGCCTTGTTCGTCTGGTGCGATTGCTGAGGATGTCGCGGATGAGAGTTTTTCTCATGAAGGTTCAATCTGATGCTCTTCGTCTGATCTCTGCATGTTGACGCTGAAGCAGATCAAAGATCGCCTGTCCATCAACCCCGGCCTCCTAAGATTGTTGCAGTTCATAGCACTCATGCTTATCATCTTGCATTATAATGCATGCGTCGCTTTCTTCCTGGGTGAAATCTTTCTCGATCAATCCACACAATCGTGGACGGTCGACAAGGAGCTGTATGCAGTAGTAGGTGAGACCTGATGCGTGCACGATGCTCTTTGAGCTTTCCCTGTGTTGATACTGAACATGCAGGTGGGCGGAGTGGTCTGTATCCCGTACACGACATGGAGATGTGGCAGCAATATGTAGTCTCGTTCTACTGGACAATCACCACATTGACAACTGTGGGGTGGGGTGACATCACTCCCAAGACAACCCCGGAAGTTGTCTTCACCATTCTCGTGCTGATCGAAGGAGGAGCAGCTTTCAGTTATATGGTGGGAAACATGGCCACCCTGATCAACAAGATCAACCCGAGACAGTTGAGGTACAAGGAGTCTATGGCAGTGTGGGAGGACTTCATGCACCGAGAAAACCTCCCGACTTACCTGCGGCAGAAAATCCGAGCTTACAAGAACTACAAGTACACCAAGCCTCTCGCCAGCTTGCCGGAGTTTGCCAAGGAGGAGCTCTCGAGGACGATGCTGAGAGAGATTGTCTCAGCGGTCTACAGTGAGCACTTGAAGAGCTTCAAGATGTTCAAGGGCCTCCCTGAGCAGTCCCTAATGGAGCTCGCCCTCGTCCTGAAGCCCATACAGGTTGAGCTTGCCTCCTGCTCCTCGCGCCTCAAGGCTCATGTGTTTGCTTTTGTCAGGTCTCTCCAGGTGAAGTGCTGTACAGGGAAGGGCAGCTGGGAAACTGCATGTATTTCTTACACTCAGGAGAGGTGGAACTCAATATGTTGTTGATGACGGAGAAGGCGAAGAAGGAACATGGAGTTCGCAAGATCGAGAACACTGTTCTGTCAGAAGAGAGTGATCTGTCAGGAGAGTGGGTAGCTAACATCTCCTCCGATGCTCGTACTTTCTCATGGAGGGTCAATCGCCACAGCGCGAGCACGTGCTTCGGAGAGAACTGCTTAACAAGCGACGCGAGGCTGTCGACTGCAATTACGCGCACGTGGTGCGTGCTCTTCATCCTAGAAAGAGACAAGTTGTATCAGATCCAGAAGCGCGACCCGGACCTGGAGGTCGTCCTGCGAAGGATGAAGCGAGCCAAGGCGTCGAGGCTGATGAAGTACGTGAGGAGAGTGATCCAGGGAGCCCGAGCGAGCGCCCTCAATAACGGGATCGTGCTGCTGGAGGTGCTCGAGGCCTCGGAGCTCCCGAAGATGGACGCCTTCTTCGGGAAGGTCGATGCCTACTGCAAGATCTGGTTGGGCTCCCGGCAGGAGGCGAGCAAACGCGTCTTCCAGACTTCAGTGGTTTACAGCTCGTTCGACCCTAAGTGGAACGAAACCTTCCTCTTCCCCATGTACGAGTCGTCAATGCAAATCAGCATCACTGTGTGGGATCACGACCTGGTTGGGGATGATGAGGTGGTGGGAAGGTGAGTCAGGCCTCTGCCTTGCTTTCGCTTCTCACTCGGTTCTGCTCAGAGTCAACGTGGACATCCGTGACATCGTGAGGCAGTGCAGAGAGACAGGGACGACCCAAGATGTGTCCATGACGCTACACATTTTAAAGGTACCTCACCGTGAGAGGATCGAGAAGATGCAGAACTCGATGAAGAGGGAGATGCTAATGTTGATTTGATGAGGATGATAATCAGAATGATGGAGGAGGAGGAGGAGGAGGAGGAGGAGGAGGACGAGGACGAGGAGGAGGAGGAGGAGGAGGAGGAGGAGGAGTGACCTTGAGACGCAGGTTGACGAACAACTGAGAGAGCTCAAGTCATCTGTGAAAGGATACCGCGGGAAGCACTCGAAGCTCTCTTTGCGAATCAAATGCATCCCAGCAGGGCAGGAGGGAGGGCTGAAGCTCGAAACAAGAACCACCTCGGGCGGGCTGGAGAAAGGCTCCTCGACGCTGCAGTTGACGAGGATACGAGGGATGCAGGAGTCGGAAAGTCAGTCGCAGCTGGAGGTGGGGCAGGGGGAGGGCCAGGCAGAGAGAAAGGAAGGGACCAAGGCCTCCGGGTTCAGTGAGAGGAGAGCAAGCGTGCAGGAGATCTCAGAGATCAGAGACATGGAGGCTCATCCCAAGCTGTTGGACAACGTGCTGCTGCTGGGGACGGTGAGTCAGATGACCGGGCGATCCTTGTACGCGTACGAAGTGAGCTCGGTGGATGCCGTGACCTCAAGCTCCGTCGATGAACGCAGAGAACCTGATGAGGGCGAGGGGATGGGAGCGAGTGTGAGCATCGGAGCTAAGACGGGGGAGGCGTCGACCAAGGAGGAGGCATCGGAGATTTCTGAACCGTCCGGTGTCCAGCAGCAGCACCTGCCGCCGATCAACCAGACGAGGGACGTACAAGGGGGAGAGGCTGCTGCAAGGCGATCCCAGAACGCGGAAGGAGAAGCGGAGAGGATGGAAGTGCACAAGGAGGGAGGTGAAGAAGACGGGCAGGTGGACAGGATGAAGCGAAGTAGCAGCCGCACGACGCATGAGGATGGGGTAGACTACAAGGCCCTCTTCTTCTCCCTTCTGCGAAGGTAAGTCCTCTTCATGCTCTGCCTTGGGTGATCGCTCCTTCTGCCAGTGTCGAACGGGAGAGGAGGGAGGCAGACGAGGAGCTGGAGGAGTTTCGCGTGCGGCTGGAAGCGCTGGAGTCCCTGTGTTGTGCACGGCTGAGGATAGGTAAAAGAGAGAGCAGGGAGGGAGGGGGGGGGGAGAGAACCGGGGAGGGAGGAGAGACTCACTTGCCCGTGACAGTCGACGAAGCTGGCAACAGTAAGGCGAGTGGCTCTGAGGAGGACCCGGCGGCTTGCGCCCGCCTCCCATCCTCCTCGTCTAACAATTAATTTCACCGTTAATTTCGTAACCGAATCGGAGGCCTGAGTAGGCGAGCTGCCCGATGTATTAGTACCTTTGAATCTATATCTATGTCAATGAACCATATGTCACCGTTGAGACTGACAGTGAATCTCTCAGTCTGGCACGCCCGGGTCAGTGGCTTCCGAGGCTTCACCGCGGCGGTCACTGGCAGCCTGTGGAGTCACCCCGGTGGCAAGGGGCCCCGGCCCGGCCGGCCGGTCTGGACACTCAAACCTGACGGTGGGAGTCACTGTCAACCCCACCCATGCTTTAGACAAATGTATGGAGGGGTAGATCTTGATGATTTGAGGAGTAGGGTAGGGGTAGGGGTTGGACCCTCACTGAGATATCGTTGTGACTATATCAAAGTGGGTAGGGGTATATTTACCATTGAAAGGTAGGGTGGGTGATAGGGGATTCATGGCGGGAGCACGATGCAGCATCTGCATGATGGCGCTGGGGGAGGCGACGAGCGCGAAGAAGTTCAGCGGGTGCAAGCAGTCAGCATGCAAGGCAACACTGCTCTACTGCGGTGCATGTGCTCTCAAGCAGATCAAGCTGCTGGAGGAGCTGAAGGACGACAAGGAGCGAGTCGGGTGCGAAGACAAGTGTCCAGCATGCCGGTCAACATTCAAAGTGAGTTGGAGGGAGGGAGGGAGGGGAGGGGAGGGGAGGGGAGGGGAGGGAGGGAGGGAGGGAGGGAGGGAGGGAGGGAGGGTAGGG